TCCATGCCCGTGATGAATCTTTTTTCTCTATCTTCGCACACAGAATCAAGCTCTGCAATGCTGCTTTGATATCTACTATGAGAGTAATTTTCAGATTATCATTTACGGGCTTAGGAGTATATCCCTTTCCTTCCCCTCCCTCATAACAGGACGCCACCTAGTCTTCCGTTTTGTCCATCAAGTAGAAATTTAAAGAGTGGTCTTCTATTATGGAGGGGGTTAGATGATTAAAAGAGAACACAAACCCTCTATCATGCCATCATGCTTCTTCGGTCTAATAGCTGTCTTACTACTTCAGTTGGAACTCAAGAAAGTTTTATGAACAATGCGATTGGTTCACCTACTGCCTATGGACGAAAACGTTCAGAAGTGCCCAGTAAAGGTACTTTCAAAATAAATTTTCGCCCATGGTTTTGCTGTGTCTACGGTGAGGTGTGCTCTCTAGAGCTTGAAGCTACTGAGCTCATGTCTATATTAAAATGATTATTACTTCGAAAATAAAGCATATTTTCACAATCAGCTTTCGCCACTAAACTCAGAACACGTTTTTCTACAGGACAACGTTAACCACAAAATCATATATGGGAAGAAGTGCTGTGGATAGTAATTCTGATATAACACACGAACAAAACTTCGCAAGTTCCATATTTTGCCAAAAATATTATCTGAGTAATACATAGTAATTTTGCGAACCTATTTAGTTCTTTGTGTGAAGAGATGAAACCGACTTTTTTATTCATTAGAACCGTCGTTAACGGCTTGTTCAGCTAACGGTATCCTTTCTTCGCTCTTTTTCAAAAGATTATTGCCGTAAAGCTACAAACTAATCTAAAATTGCAACAACATAATTAAGTACATTAAACATTTCTCTACAAAATGAAAAGTGTCTTGGCTCTGAATGTTGATTAGTTATGAAAATACAGCTGTCGTACAAACAGCCCCAAAAATCGATTTTGGAACTATCTGAAAAACGCGTCTAAAAGACTGAAGACGAGCAAGCGAAAATTCAACAAGTATACCAGTTTGTAGAAAATTGTTTGCTCTACAAGATGTGATAGCTTGTTACGTTCGAAACTATTCTAATTAATTTTCTGATTTTTCTTTGATTAATACAGATTAATTAGAATAGTTTTGAACGTAACAAGCTATCACATCTTGTAGAACAAACAATTTTCTACAAACTGGTATACTTGTTGAATTTTCGCCTGCTCGTCTTCAGTCTTTTAGACACGTTTTTCAGATAGCTCCAAAATCGATTTTTGGGGCTGTTTGTACGACAGCTGTGTTTTCATAACTAATCAACATTCAGAGCCAAGACACTTTTCATTTTGTAGAGAAATGTTTAATGTACTTAATTATGTTGTTGCAATTTTAGATTAGTTTGTAGCTTTACGACAATAATCTTTTGAAAAAGAGCGAAAAAAGGATACCGTTAGCTGAACAAGTCGTAAACAAGCTTTAAAAGTAAGGGTCACTTTTACTTTTTTTTGCTTTATTACGGAGAAAATTTATTTTTTCTAAATCAGGAACGAAAATGCCGGAATTCTGTTTGTACTTTACAATTTTCTCCATCAGAGCTTATTTTTTACGCAATATAAATATCATAATCAGAATCAGCGTCGAAAACTGAGTCGAAAGTTGTATATAGGGGTGTGGTGCTAATTAGGCCCAAAACAACACCCAATTCTTTGCTACCAGCAGCAACGATTATTATTAGGTGAACGATAAAAGTTTTGTACAAAAAACTATTTGTACAATGTTGATGTTCAATAAAATAGCTAATGTTCTTCTTTGTTGTTCTGAGAGGAGGTGACGGAAATCGTGATGCTGATGTAACGAAGGCGAAAAGAAAATAAGTAGTGCAAACTAAAATACTAAATTATAAAATATTAAATATAAATTAAATATAAAATTTAATTTATATAAACTATTTAAATAGAATATCGAAGCTCCTTCTTCCCTGTATATGAGAGAAGAAGAGGAAGTGGTTTGAATTTTAAGATTAATCAGAAGAATTCTCCTCTATAAATGTGAGGGAGAGCGAGAAGAAGGAGAGAAGAGATCTGAATTTCAAGTTAAAAATTGACAAGAATCAGAAAATTATCGAAATTTACTTTCGACTATAACTTGTTTTTCGTTTTTGTTACCCGGAAACGACTTGTATTAAATTAATAAATAATAAATAATTCCTTTCTTCTATTATCTCTCTTACTAAAATCCGCGAAACTTCGAAGTTTTAAGAATTTCTATAAACTGCAATAAGATCAAGCATGAAGAACAATGTAGTGGCGATGAGCCGTTACAAGGGGTGCTATTTTATTTTTACTAATTATTGCCGTATCCGGTAAAAGTAATAAACGTTTTTTTTTCGTCTTTTTCATCCCTGATTTTGGAGAAAATGAATTTTCTCAGTAATAAACCAAAATAAAAGGAAAGCAATCCGTAATTTTAAAGCTCGTTTAATGGCGATTGTAATGAAATAAAAAAATCGGCTTCATCTTTTCACAAAAGAACCTAGATAGGTTCGCAAAATTGTTTGGGAACTTTTACACGAAGTAGTCTAAGACGTCCATACTCGATAGACGTTTGAATCCAACCTCGATCAAGCATCATTCTCTTACTCAGCTTTTAATGCTGAATCTGAAAAAAATACTTTCGAAAAGTTAAAAGAATGAAAAAGAAAAAAAGCTCGAATTTTTTAAAACCGAAGAGTTTTTCGAAACACTTTCTCTGTTACAGGTATATAAATCTATAGTCTACATTTGGTATGTTTAAATTATTGCCCATACTCAGACAATATTTTTGGCGAAATATGGAACTTGCGAGAAGTCTCGTGTGTTATATGAGAATTACTATGCACGGCACTTCTTCCCGTATGTGATTTTATGGTTCTTCATCAAATTTTTTTCAACAATAATCAACAAAGAGTGCAGGCATGGGCGAGTCCGAGTCCGAACTGGAAGATTTTTTGGCGTACTCGAACTTGGACTCGGACTGGAGATTTTTTTAAAGGACTCGAGTTTTTGTATTTCGAGTTCGATCTATTCAACTTTCAACACAAGAGAAAAATGAAAAGCGAAATAATAACACCTTCTGTTTCACAAGAAATTGAAAATTTTGTTCAGGAAATAGACATGCAAAGTAATATTATTTTCGACAAATCAAATATCTCTCCAGGGCTCAGTAAATTATAAAAGAGAAATAAACCACACCCATCAAAGAAAGAATCTAAAAAATTACCGGACTCGAAATGGACTCGAGACTTGGACTCGGTCCTTAATGTCAAGGACGCGGACTTGGCCATGCTCGAAAGAGTGGTACTGGTTAATGTTGTTCTATAGAATAACATGTTCTGAGTTTAGTGGTGGAAGCTGATTGTGAAAATATGCTTTATTTTCGAAGTAATAATCATTTTACTGAATTACTAACCATTTGAACACGACAATCAGAAAAGCTCGATTTTTCTTTAGCTCAGATGTTTTGAAGGAAATCTGATGACAGATTCATGTACGCTAGGATCAAGGCTTTCCAACCGTATGATAAAAGTGGACAACTATTGGGATGCCAGATTTCGAATCTTATTCGGCGGGATCCTCTGATTGGAAGATAATAATGCATAGTTAAGGCATACAATAACACTTGTTGTGAAGAGCAAAGTTTTTGACACATACTTTCCATCGGGCTCTACTGTTATCAAGAGTGATGAAATGTATTAGTGAAAAAATATTGTGGCAAATAGTTTAGAGAAATTCACTAGAAGCAGTAATCATACTTTAGTCGATGCAAAAGTTGTGTGAAGTTTAGAAACCCTACTCATGTATCCCAGATATTTTTCGTCGTATTCTACATCTTGACTCTTATAGTTGGATTAAAGATTTAGCTTCATACGATATGTATCTAATAAAGGCCTATAAAAATTGTATGAGTTTCATACATCAGTAGGACTGTCACATTAACGTTACGTTAGAATTAACGTTAACGTACTTTACGTTTACGTTAGAATTAACGTTAACGTACTTTACGTTTACGTTAAAATTAACGTTAACGTACTTTACGTTTACGTTAGAATTAACGTTAACGTAAAATACGTTAACGTTAAACGAAAATTAACGTTAATTAACGTTAAATCTGACAGCCCTATATGTGACTAAAGCTAGGACTGTCACATTAACTTTACGTTAAAATTAAGGTCAACGTAGTTTACGTTTACGTTAAAATTAACGTTAACGTAGTTTACGTTTACGTTAAAATTAACGTTAACGTTAAACGAAAATTAACGTTAATTAACGTTAAATCTGACAGCCCTATACATCAGTTAATAGTTGTTACTTTAAATTTAGATTAAATGAATTAGAATTTTCATGAAGATCAACGTTTCCGTTAATTTACTGGCATATTGCAGTTAGTCAGATATCGTCATGATTAGTACAAGTTTCTTCGCTATCTAAGGAACATGGTAAGAATAAGAAAATAAATTTATCACATTCATTTTCTCTGTACAATTCAAGTTTCAGTAGTATTTTTTTCAGTTAATTTCATTTGATCTCATCTCGAAATGTCTTTTTATAATAGAAAATTTTAATTCATTTTAATTCAAATTTAAAATGACAAGACTGCTGACTGTATCGACGCTCAAACTACTTCGGTTCAATTGTTTTCCTATAATGAAACTCAATTAACCCTTTACCTGCCAGGAAATCATCCATGAGTCATTCGTAGAATTGTTATAAAAAGATAATAAAGCATATGATAAAAATGGATCGCTTTTGAGAGCAAGATAATTCAATAAGCTATCAATTGAAAAAAGAGAATTTTCTTTTTCATCACTTTTTGGTGCTTTATTATCTTTTTATAACAATTCTACGAATGGGTCATAGGTGACCCTTTGGTAGGTAAAGGAATAATTTGTAAACTCTGTAATATTTGACAATTGACCACTGTGATATGATCTGTTGTCGTAAAAATCTAAGCTATTATTGACCTAAACATAGCGCGTTGAACTACGAAGGTGGAACGCCTATGTTATCTTCATCTTCTAATTCAATCTGATTTATTTTAACTTTTCGAATCTCTATTGCATCTTCACATCGTTTTTCTTTTTTTTCCCAAGCTAGTTTTTGTTTCTTCGCAAAATTACATTCTCTCTGCATGCTTCCTATCATCAGGGCTGAAAGCTTCTTTTGTTCATTACTGTACATCTTAGCTACAGAAAACTCTCGTTTTCGTTTATGGCTACTACTTTTTGCCTTATAATAGTCAATATTCTGATCACATATTTCATAACAAAGTTGACTAACTCGTTTTTGATTTGGAATTGTGTTTATCGACTTCAGTTTTGTGTATTGAGTTTTCCAATTATCGTGTTGATCACCATCGCCGAAAAAAATATACATAGAAATAATCTGAATTAATAACTCGAGACTGGCAACAAGTTGTTCAATGCTAGCTAGTGGCTCAACATGAAATATAATGATAATAGTAAATTGTTTGTCGTTATTGTCGTTTATATATTGATGACACTCATTTGTGTCATTAAATAATTTATATAATTCTGTATTTGTCGAAATTGGTG